GGGGCCGGGCGCGGCGCCTCTCCCTGGGAGCCCAGGCTGCTGGTCAAGAGAGCGAGGCCGTAGATGAGCTGGAGCCGCGCGCCCTTCCCGACCGGCGGCCTGGGCGTGTTTGTAAGGAACAGGCAGGCGCGCCAGACCCGTCCTGGGCAGGGGTGCAGGCCGCTCCCAGCGCTGGAAGCGGGCTGCCTGGGCGTTTTCTTTGGTTTTACTATAACCTCTAATGGCCATTGAAGGTTCACGTGTAGGGGGCCAGCAGAGAAATCTGGGTTTCAATTTCATCCCCCCCACCCTGGGGGCCTGGGTGGGTGAGGAATTCGGAAGCATTCCTATTCGGCTGCAAAGTTTACTTTCTTCTCTTTTAATATGGAGTTTCTGTAGATTTAAGTTAATGCACATTTGTGGCTGCCAACACATGTGAAAGCCTACAGCACTGGGCCTGGCATTTCATAGGTGCTCAATACTAGTACATGTTTACTGGGTTTCAGTGTAGAGCTTTGCTTGATCAGACCAGCGTGGAGTTTCCAGAGCTTCACGAATATCTTCTTTTCAGAGATGACGCCATTTATTCAACATTCAGCAAATATTTCCTTGCACCTACTATGTACCAGGTACTGTGCTAGGTAGGAACTGGGAATACAGAGATGACCTAGATGTGGTCCCAGCATGAGCATAGAAGTACAAGACGATCCGCTAAATCCTAAGGCGGAATGAAGAAGCCAGGAAGCACTGTGGGGAAGGGCTGAGGGCTGACTGCACAGAGGAGGGACGGTGGTTGAGTGGCGAGGATTGCAGGCCATCGGACTCCATCCAGAACTCTGACGGGCGGAGTCCCAGAGCCTTCCCCGCACATGTGTGCAGGGAGCTGCAGGCTGGGCCTGAATCCCCCAGGCTACTCCTGGGTCAACTGGTGGGCAGTGGCCTGTCACTTCTGCTCTCTGGAGCTCTGCCCAGGGTCCCAGTAGCCATCGGGGTCCCGGCAGCCATCGTTCAGCTGTGAGCAGAGTCAGAATTATTCAAGAAGCCGCAGGCAGCGCATCTCAGCCCGGGAGACAGGCAGCTGAGCTGCTCCTGATGTCTCCTGGCTTCCAGCCCATATTCTCTACTCTTTTCTGCTTGTCTCTCCTCATTTGGGGGACCCTCCTTCCCTAGTCTCTTCCCCCCAACACTCCCCAGTTTTCTCTGTATCAACCAGGCTCTTTTTATTTTTCACATTTGGTTGAAACTATCTGAATATATCACTGGATTTTGTTTCAAAGGGCAGCTGCCAGGCCTCTAATACCTACAGGTGGTCAGTGGGGGCTCTGGGGTTCTGCTTGTCTCTCCTCATTTGGGGGACCCTCCTTCCCTAGTCTCTTCCCCCCAACACTCCCCAGTTTTCTCTGTATCAACCAGGCTCTTTTTATTTTTCACATTTGGTTGAAACTATCTGAATATATCACTGGATTTTGTTTCAAAGGGCAGCTGCCAGGCCTCTAATACCTACAGGTGGGCAGTGGGGGCTCGGGGGGCTGGGGTGGGGGTAGGGGTGCTCTCTGAATGGAAAATGCAGGTACAAGCCCAAGAAGGATTAAGAGCTTGGTCTTCAAATAGCAGCCACACCCCCAGAAATGAAATTCTGCCCCAGCCACAGCTCATCCCTCTGACTTGTGGCAAGTTACTTAACTCTCAGAGTCTAGTTTCCAGTCTGTATAATGGGTATTATAACATCAGGGCCTTCTGTATCAGATAGTTATGAGGCTAAGATAATATATGTTCAAAAAGAATGCAGTAGGCCCTGGGTAGCTCTGTTAGTCAGAGCATCATCCGGATACATCAAGGTTGTGGGCACACACAGGAATGCATAAAAAAGTGGAACAACAAATCGATGTTTCTCGCTTTCTCTCTCACTTCCTCTCTCTCTCAAAAGAAAAAAAATAATTAATTAATATATTTTTAAAAAGCACACAGTACCATGCTTGGCCTATAGCAAGCACTTAATAGAAGTCAGTATCAGTATTACTATTATTGTTCCTAATAATTACTGAGCAGCGTCCTGTGGACTGGCAGCTCTCAGAGGAAGAAGGAAGCGCAGCTGGAAGCAGGTTCAGCTTGTTTGCCACCTGACGCCCTCCCCTCAGCTCCTGCGCTGCCCCAGGCAGATTCTCCCCTCCAGGAGGCTGCCCTTGGGGGTGAGTGGGAAGGGAAGGCTATCCTCGGACAGGTCAGCTCCATCTTCCATGGAGATGGGGTGCTCTGGGATCGCCCATCCATTTCCTCCTGATCGTGGGTCACACGGGCTCCCTGGGAAGACCGCAGGCAGGCTGAGGCGACCCTCTGATAACCAGATGCAGTACTTCCCCAGCCTGCTCTTCACTGCGTCCCATCTCCTTGAGTCCCTGGGAAAGCTTTTCCCAGGGTGTATGTGAAAATGTCAAAAAGCAGGTGAGTTTAGATGCCAAGCTGGGGCTCATTACCACCACGGTCCTCTACCCCACACTCAGGGCCGGCTTCCTGGGCGTGGGACCTGCCAGGCGCAGAAGGAACCCAAGCTCAGGTAGTGCTCTGCTGTCGCCACCTTCAAATCCTGACTAATTCTGATCAGAGGGCCCGCGTTCTCTTCTGCACTGGGCCCTGCAAATCGTGTTGCTGGCCCCGCCTGTCTGCTCCTGTGGAGAGGATGTCTTCCTTGCCAAGAAAAGCAAACTGAAGGGCAGAGAGGGGGCATGACTGGCGCAAGGTCACATAGCAAGTTGGTGGCAGAACTAAAACAGGTCTCCCTCTGACCACCTGTCCAGTAGAATTCTCTGGAAGCACTCCTGTGTCCAACTATGCCCTAGGGGGGAGGTTCTGTGAGGGGCCACTGGCTGCGCGGGTAGGGGTGGGGGTCAGGGGGAGGAAGAGGAGGGTTAAACAAAGCACTTAAAAGCCCCGATTCCCTGCCTCCCATTTTGAGATCCATCAAGACTGACACATTATTTGGATGGGTGGACGTGAGTGCCCATGCTCTGTATGGAATTCTGTTTGAGGCAGGCGTTTCTGTGTGATTGTGTGTGTCTGTGTGATTGTGTGCGCCTGTGTGTGTGTGTGTGTGTGTTGTGGGGATGGTGGGAAACAGACTAAGTATGGAGGAGAAAATACCCAGTTTTAGCTGCTTTCATTCACTTTTTAATTCCGCAGGTATTTCTGGGATACAACCCCAGAAATACAAACATCCTTAGTCTAGTAGGCAAGACAGACAATAAAACTAAGAATCACACAAATAAATACATGTATTTGTTTCCCAGTGCCCAGGTCTTTTCCTCCGTGGAGTAATTCAGTTTGAAATAAGGGGGTTAACGGCATATTGGCAGATGGAGGGGAACTCCGTACCCTCCCGCTGACTCCACAACCGGCCGTGGCATTTGGCGGCATTCGGATCGTGGCTGGGAATGAGATTTATCTTGGGGCTCCAAATGACTCTCTGGGGATGCCTGAAATCCCACTGGGGGCCTTATCTAGGATTAAGCTTTATTCTTCTTCTGAGACCCTGTCTAAAATCCAAATCCCCGGGGGATGGGGGTGGCAGGTGGGTTCACCAAGTCCATAACTCAGTGCTGTGTCATGAGACGAGGCTGCCCAAAAGATGCCCCTGATGGTACCACAGGGGATGCAGAGGGCCAGGGGACAGTCTTCTCCATCCCCCCCTGCTGGTGACTCAGTCTAGCTCTGCCTGCAGAAAGGAGAGCCCCAGGGAGGGCGGGGCGGGTAAGGCCTAACCAAAACCGGAACCCAGAATCTCACAGCCTCGCTGCCAGCTGGACAAGCCAGGAATTCCAGGCGCATCTTACCCGCAGGGCCCGCTGTATCAGATATGCCCCTCCCTTATTGTTCCTGCGGGACAGTCCTGTCCCCCCACCCCCCATACCAGCTCCGTAGTTGCCCACAGGACTTGACAAGAACTTTAAAGGTTCTTGAAACACATTTAAGTACCCTTGTGCCCCTATCTGCTCTCCTGCTTAGAGGCCAAATTTGGCATTCTATTGGGGTGGGGTGGGGTGGAGGAAGAAACGGAGCCCAGCTACCCCAGAAGGGCCCTGAGAGAGGCAGGTAAGTTCTCCCTGGTGGCTGGGGCACTGTCCCGGGCGGGTGAGGCGGGCTGGTCCCCTCACACAAGAATCTGCATGCTTCCTTGCTTCCTTCCTCTTGGTCCCTCCCTCACCAACCTACCTGGAGGCAGGTAATAAAGCGGGAGGAGGGAGATGGATGGATGGGGAGGGCGGAGAGCCACGTGGTGCCATAAAGCCCAGCTAGCGAGCCCCGTCCGGGGAGTGTCCAGCCTGCCGGAGCCAAGGCTCGGAGTGGGACCGCCTAGCGTGTGAGCCGGAGCCGGAGCAGCAAGGCCTGGAGAAGGCCATGCACCGAGGTGCGCCAGGACCAGGCCTCAGGGGCCTAAAGGGGGCCGAGGGCTCTGTCAAGGACTTGGGGGGCTCTGGCCTGGAGGCCGGGAAGGATTTTGGGGTGCTGAGGGAGAATGGCGCCCCCCGCGGCCTGGGCGAGGCAGAGGAGGTGCCGAGTAGTAAAAAGCGTGCCCGGCCGGTGCGGTCCAAGGCGCGGCGCGTGGCGGCCAACGTGCGGGAGCGCAAGCGCATCCTGGATTACAATGAGGCTTTCAACGCGCTGCGCAGGGCGCTGCGGCACGACCTGGGCGGCAAGAGGCTCTCCAAGATCGCCACGCTGCGCCGGGCCATCCAC